AAACCTTCCATGAATCTGACCAATGAGACCTACATTTTAGTAAACATTCATAAGATTTCAATGCACAAGTACAATTTTATGCACACCTAATTGGGAATGCCTTGCTGAACAAAAATCGATACAAAATTCAGCTTTAAAGATCTCTCTTCCAGTATCTTTATCTCTTTGTCTCTACTTTTGAAAACATAAATTTTGCTTAATTACTGACATTTACATTCTACCTTTCCTGGATGAGTTGAAGGCTGACATAGTGAGTTTTATAGTTCAGTGGGGATGTGAACCTGACCTTCCCAAACCCCAGACCAATACGGTCATGGCAGCATGTTAAATGGAGAATATAGCCTTTGATCATTGTCCAGTTTGTTGGTCACAGGTATAGAAGGGGGTTGACAGTGCCTTGAGCCATTTTACAATGGACATTAATGGCATTTAGTTATGTTTTGTTGGGCTTTAAGATTGCTTAAAATAAATGCTGTTAGTCAGTATATTGGAACCAGATATCATGGTTCGTTTAAGTAATAATGTATTGCTGCAAAAATCATCTGACTTGTTTTGGTAGACTATATTTTAAACAAACCACATTTTCACCTGACTCAGATGACATGGCTAGTATAAGCTATGAAATAGTCACTTTCAGTCTCCAAAGAGGGAATGGGGGAACACTTCATCCTGAAGTTTCAACAAACTTGTTTCCATAATGCTTAACAGAGCTATAATTAGAATGGGGAAACCATGACACTAACATTTAAAGGGTGCAAAATTTTTCTGCTGTTAGGATGCTAACCCACACATTGCTATTTGTATTGACGCACTGCAAATCTATCTGTTCTGAGAGCATACAGCGCCTCCAGCCTACTAGGGCACCTTTCCAGACAAGTGTTTGTCCTTTTTTTTCAACCTCTCCTTGCTAATGCAAGAGCCTCATGATGCTGTGGTTAAACTGCAGAACTGCAGTCAAGACTCTGCTCATGACCTGCATTCAATCCTGATGGGCTCAAGGTTAAATCAGTATTTCTGAGCTCAGAAAACTGAGTATGCAGTTCGCTGGGGGCAGTGGAGGGAGGCAATGTGTAGCCTACATAATTAAATTGTAAACTGCTTAGAGAGTGCTTTAACTATTATGGGGCAGGATATAAGGAAAACGCTTTGTTTTGTTTTCATGCCAATCTCATTTGACAGAGAGTTAACCAATAAGGCAATTAGGCCCAGGCCACCAAAATTGCTATTTCTGAAGCAGAGCTATCTGTATACACAAGAGTTGATGGCAATGTGTGGGGCTCTCCTCTTCCCAATTTTATCTCACAATTAATCCATCAGACAATGAGTCAGTGACTAGCACAAAGTGAGCTCTTGACTCAGGTTGGGACTATACAATATGGGCCTAGATATCCCACCCAAACACATTATCCACTAGACCAAAGTTACTTTTTGTCATAATGTTTGCTGGCTGGAGGATTTGGGGAGTTTTTGTCTTAACATGTAATATTTCCAGACACTGGGAATACCATGTTACATCTATGTTACATCTCAATCAGGTCTAAAAATGACTGTGGAATTAACACTATCTCTTCTTTTTATTTCAATATCAACCATTGTCTTTCTATTATCTTCTTGCTTTGCTGCTTCTTTTCATGTATTTTAGCCCCTCGCACTACTGCCCTGATTCTGCATCCATGGTTTATTTGTCCCATTTCCTATTGTCTGAGATGTGATGGAACAGTATCTGAGATTAAGGCACAAATTAGAGCCTTATTAAAGGCTTCACTGTATAATTCAGAATGTTTTCTTGACTGTAGTGAATTTTAATCAAGTGCTAAATTGAATTACTCAAGGATTTTGCCCTATATGCATTTCAGCCCGACATATTTTTCAAAGCTGCTGCTAAACATCTGAGAGGTACAGATGTTTAATTCAAACTCTTATAGGAGTCTAATGAATTTAAATCTGTGCTGTGTCTCATAAATTAAAAACGAGTAAGATATACATTCTATTTTTAAATGAATTTCGGTTACTATGTATGATAAATTACACACAGTGGTTTATATATTTTCAAAAAAGATGGGTATTTATTTATTTATTTATTTATTTATTTATTTATTTATTTATTTATTTATTTATTTATTTATTTATTTAAATGTAGTACTGGAGAACCCCACAGCTTCCTTCCTGAGTAACACTTTTAAGTCGTATGGGGCTATTTGTTTACTTAGATTTTTTTTAATGAACCTTGCAAACACAATTTCACAAAATGAGTCTCTTCTTATTCACAGTTACATAATACACAATATGAGCAATTATAACTTCAACAAAATGCTGCAGTTTCTGCACCCAAGACCTCGGCAACAGCACCAATACAGAAGTTGCTTGTAGAACTGCAAAGTTCAAGTGTCCTTTTCCATTCAAATTTAGGCAGAAATCCAAGTTATCTTCTTCAGTCAGCTCCACATGCAAAATCTTCAGAACCCTAGAATAAAATAAAACTAAAATTCAATTGCATATGCATGAATTGATTATGTGGATTCATCCTTCCAACACAAACAAATTATACCAAGACCAAGATGGCAAAGGGCCTTAGGAGTCTAAGTGGCAACACCAGGTCCAGTCCCTTCAGCTCTAACGCTCTTTCTGATTCAAATCTTTTACTCACAGCACCACTCTTTCTTAGTGGACCAATATTTCATAGAGGTTGCACAGCCTGTGATAAGTTGTTATGGAGAGCCAAAAGTATCCTTGTACTATGCAAATAGGCTGATGATCAAATGCTTCTGTGGAAGCCACTGAAATAACAAATGTTGATTCATTGTTCCTGGCGGTGTTTGTTTGTGACAAGCAAATATGGCCAGGAGCACACTGCAAGGTATTTGTCAATATCTTATATATTTTGAAAATCTGTTACTTCCTTGATACAACTGGTTCTGCTCAAGAAAATTGGAATTATTCTGTGCGTAGTTCTTGTCACCTGACAGCCATCCTTCTAATGGTAATCCTATCCATACTACACTGGTACTTGGAGCCTTACCAGTCTGATACAACCTGCCAAAGCTTATGTTCTGCTGGCACAGCATTTGAGAACCGAGGGTTATTTTTATGCCAGGACAACATGATGGCATAAGATCCTGATAGAGGTATTTGCCAGTACCAGCATTGTAGCTACCTGTGGGTGTTCATTTATTCATGGAAATAGTACATTCAAGGTACTTCCAGAACTGGTAGAAAATACATTTTTATTTCAAAACATTCTTATCACTGGAACAGTGTAAATATGGAAGCAAATTGAAGCATACGTGGAACAGAGTTCATGGTCATCTTTAGATGGAGATAAAGGAATGCAGGGTTTCTGACAGCTGTCAGTCCTGATTGGTGCAAAATGTATTCACTACTATGCATTAAGATTTCCATTTAAGTGGAGGAAGTTAAAGAAAATCTATGAGCTCCCTCAGCCTTTATGTTAACAGGACTTAATAAAGCCTGTATAACAAGCAAAAAGAAAATAATTGTATCTTGGAAGATTCTTCCTAAGAAAATTAAAAGTGAAGCATAATGTCAATTATTTTCACTTAACCCTCTTTTTTCTGTAGAAAATTGTAGGGACATAAAATATTGCTTCAACGTATGTCTGTGTATGAAAAAAAGTTATATAATTTACATGAAGACAGATGATTTCATAAAACTGAATATGTAAAGCTGTGTTTTAAAATTTCTTTGGAAGGGAGGCTAGCTTAATTGATCTGCTGCAAATAGCAAAAAAATATATCATGTGGCACCTTACAGGTTCACACATTTAATGTGACATAAGTTTTCATAAACTTTAAAGTTGCTACTGAACATCTGAGAGAGATATATACATGGTAGCATCTTTTATGGCTATCTTGTGTTGACTTGTCTTTGACTGTTTCTGTAGTTTATATAAATGTTTTTTCCTAGAACTACAGTCTTCAAAAGATAAGAGAAATAAGAGAGGTTGTATGAGAGTAGTATTGACATCCTATCCAGCAGAGGGCAGTTGTAGGAAGCATATGACCAGCAGGTCAGTCCTATGTTGCCGAGAAGCTAGTTAGCTGGAACACCAGACCTAACATCAGTTGAATATCACACAATCTGATGTATGTCATGGAGCAGAATCAATAGCGCTACATCTGTAGCAAGCACCACAAACACAACAATAGCTAATGCATATAGCATCCAAATCACTGTGGAGATGTAAGCAGTGCCAACTGCAGGATTGAATGAGTTGGAGTAGAACACACCTGGAGGACAATGTGTTGAGAGAGAATGGTCTCGTTTATTTTAAACATTTCCTTAGTTCCATCACATATCTAAGTATAGAACAACATAGAATATAGATTGTCATCTAAAAGACTTTGTCTTGACCAGCCATCCTCTACTTGGTGCTGTTCAAAATAGTTGTTGTGGGTTTTTCAGGCTCTTTGGCCGTGTTCTGAAGGTTGTTCTTCCTAACATTTCACCAGTCTCTGTGGCCGGAATCTTCAGAGGACAGCATTCTGTCTGGCGAAACATTAGGAAGAACAACCTTCAGAACACGGCCAAAGAGCCCGAAAAACCCACTACAACCATTAGATCCTGGCAGTGAAAGCCTTTGCGAATACGCTGTTCAAAATACTTTGGATGTTGCAATGCCTTCGTTCCCCAGCCACCTGCTAATAATGAGAGTTGCAGTCTTAAGATGTTTAGAAAACACAAGTTAGGGAAAGTTGGCTTATGCCTTTGGTAAACCCTTGATGAATGGCCTTACTGGATAGATGAGTGACTTAAAAGTTTGATTCCCTATTGTGCCTCCAGGAGAAGAGCCAGCCTGTAGTGCTTTGGGCAAACTGCCAAAAGTCAGAATTGACATGACTGATCATAATTATTGTCACAATGCCTTGATGACTGAGAAGGAAAACTAAAATCCTCTTAATAAACATGTATGCATATGAATGTACACAGAGCTCAACAGAATTTCTATTAGCTAAAATAATCTATTTTTATTTGTTTTCTAGGATCTAGTTCAGGGTCCAAATGGAAAGGTCCAAAATTAAACATTACAGGAACACAACATGTAATACAAGAAGGAGATACTTTAAGTATCATGTGCAGGTAATTGGCTGGGAAGGGGCAAACTTTGTGTAAATTACCCTTTGTGTAGTACACCCTTGTATTTGCCAATTAGTTCATTGGGGTGGGAGCAAAAGACCAACCTATTGTTAGAAGTGTTAAAGGGGTAATTGTTCAATAACAGATCCTCTCCTCCTCCTTGCTTCTGTTGTTGCTTTTGGAGAATGATATTACAGGGAGCCCCAGAAATAGCTTGATGGCAATAAAATGGTAATTGATTTTGTCATTGTAATACAACATCATTGTTCATTGTTGTTATTGCTTCCTTATCTGCATTTACAGTGGGGAAGTGGCCCATTCATGGTCTATGCCTGAAAGTCTAAGTAAGGATACCAGTCGGCTGAATATAATTACCTATAATTGTGGAAGGAATGGCAAACAGTTCTGCAGCAATCTGACCTTGAACAGAGCTCAAGCAAGTGACACGGGATATTATAGCTGCAAATATCCATTCTCAAGTGCTGTGCGAAAGAAGACAGTATCTACAATATATGTATTTATTAATGGTAAGATCTCTATTTCTCTCTCTCTTTTTTAAAAAAAAGCCTCTGTGGAATGTCAAATGAAAATTGTTGAATCATGAACCAGTTACATCTTACATTGCTGCACTAAAACTAAATGAAAATTTAATTGTCATAGTCAATTTGGAAATGTTATTGCAAAATCAGACATGCTTGTATCAATGTTATTTTCTTTAAAAGTAATTTGTTGCTCTTTACTTGTTAGTAATATGCTATTAGCTCACGGATGTTCCTGCAATATATAACCACTTACAAATACAACAAATAGTCCCAAATCCCTAAAGAACTATATTTGGAAGTAATGAGGAAACACAGCTCTTATAATGAAAAAACTAATATGAGTAGTTGTTAGATTATTTTTCAGATTGCTTCCCAGTTATTATTCCAAAAAAGTAATATTATAAATGACACTGTTGCTTTTAATGCTTTTCTTCCAAATTCTGGCGGTCACTTATAGGGCAATGGTCCCCAACCTTGGGCCTCTAGATGTTCTTGGACTACAACTCCCAGAAGCCTTCACCACCACCTCTGCTGGCCAGGATTTCTGGGAGTTGAAGTCCAAGAACATCTGGAGGCCCAAGGTTGGGGACCACTGACTTAGGGCAAAACTCACAAGATGCAGTAGGCCAACAATCAGTTTTGCCCATTTTTTTTTAAGTTTTAAAGCTGCAGTAGTACACCCAATGTTGGGGCAGTAGCGTTAAGGCATGTCTAATGTTCCTCCCTGCAGTGTTTTCAGTCTTAATCAGAAGCAACTGTATTCCCGTCAAGGATGGAAGAACAAGAAAACTGATAGCAGATTTAACTGTGGGATTTTTTTAAGGATACAGGGAGATCAAATCTCCGAGGCAGTCCATCACATGACTCATAGAATACTGTGGGGATGATCTGAAGTGCAAAATGAAAGTTACATACTTTTTTTTAATATGCCAGGCTAGGAGGAAAAAAAGAACAGGAAAGACTAGGCATGTGGAATTTTGTATGCCTTATCTGAAAGGAAATAGACCAGAAGTGTGCCTATGAAATGATTAGAATATTCCATAAGCCATATCTAATAATACCAAATATATATTCAGTAAATGCTTGCTATAACAATGTTGCTAGGTGTATGGTTTTTCTAGCTGAAGGGTGTGAAATGTCACTTTGTTGCCAAACAGGAAGAACACCAGAATGTCAAAGAGCAATGTTATGGAGTTTTAGGAAATAATGCTTTATTTTCAAGTAAATCAATGCTAGAGTCACACTCATTAACTTATTTTACTGCTTGGTTGTGATCTTGATGGTGGCGGCCACATGGTTTCTCCGTTGATTTTTGCATGGAAAAGAAGGAAATAAAATCTTTACAATGTGAATAAGACTCCTCAAACATTTCTCTTTGGAGATGATAGTATGCCAGCTTAGAAAGAGAACATTGACTGAGTTTCATAGGGTAACATTATGGTTTTGACTCAAATATCTCCAGTGTACTTCCAGGGATAGGGGGAAATGAATGTTAATGTTTGATGAATAAGTCTCATAAAATATGGTTTCTTGGCTTCCTGAAGCATGCCAGTTTGATTGGCAAGACTTTAAAATATAATTTTAGTTAACAAATTTTTCATATGAGTACTTTTAACTTTTGTAGCAAAATGTGCATGTTCTAAAAGCCAAGTTACATGTGATCAGCAAGAATAAGCAGCTTGTAAAAGTGAATGTCAGTGTTCAGACAGTAGGAGAGGATTAAGAAGACCTTTTCCCTGTTGTTCCAATTTTATTAGAATCGCTAAAGCTCAACAGCAGAATTATAAACTTCTTTCTCTCTCACTTCATCTGGATGCACACTGGTTGTGAGAGTTTTCGCGTGTGTAAGGGAAGCCGAGAACAATAATATTTGAAAGCTAGATTCCATTATAATTCTAAAGATTCAGCAGGATCATATAAGGCAGGCTTGTCCAACCTGCGGCCCGAGGGCTGCATGCGGCCCAGGTCAGCTCGTAATGTGACCCAGTGCAATTTTTATTTTTAAAGAAATTCCAAAGTTTCAAGTTACACTGCCGGCGTTTGCGGCCAGAATGTGGCCGGGGCATGTCACAACAGTAGAGGGGGAGAGAGGGAAGGAAGGAAGGAGTGGGAGGGAAGGGGACAGGGGGGCTGCGTGACTGCATTGCACCCTCCCTGTCAATAGGCAGACCCCCTTCCAGCCCCATAAAGCCGCTGGAGTTGAAGCTGGCAGCCTCTGCTGTCTAAGATCGCAGCTGCCGGTAAGCGCGCTTGGAGCGGGGCTGCGGAGGAAGGCTAGGGCTGCCCCCCCATGCGGCACAAACCAAATTTATGTGCGGCCCAAACCAAATTTTCATCTTATAATGTGGCCCAGGGAAGGTGAAAGGTTGGACACCCCTGATATAAGGCAAAGTGGTCAAAACTGAGGCACCTGACCACAATGCAGCCATCATCTTCAAGAATTAATGCTCACAGCAGCAGAAGAGAATTGATAGTGTAGGTGTCTGCTTGTGGAACCACAGACTGGGAGTTCTGTTCTACACTGTGCCACCTTGACCTTAAGTTCCCTTCCAGCTCTAAGATAGTATAATGTCGATTGTAGCCCAATGATGGAGCAAAAATTAGGGAAGAAGAAAAGTTTCATTTAAAAAACACTTTCTAAATTATTGTTCTCTGTGAAATAATCTATTTAAAATTAATACTTTGACTATCCCTGGATTGTTTCCTGTGGCAGGATGTTGTGTCAGCCAGAAGTGCCTTTTTCCTATCTTTAGCATCCGACTATGGGAACAAATATTTACAAATACAGAATCAGGATCTTAGTGATAAAGGAAGTCACCTCTCCTTGGCTTTTAAATACTCTGTACTTCCTGTGGTTTGGCTGCTCTTGAGTATGAACCGAATAGGAACAGATGAGATTTGCAAAATTTTGCACTTTGCCAACAATGGAAAAAAAAATATATTTTAAAAGATGTATACTTAAAAAAAAAGTTGATGAACGCTTACTTGTGTTTTGGATCTTGATTTTATTTTTCTTCATAATGATTGACTAATAAATGCACATTTCTGCCCTGCTCTTTAAATGCCAAAGTTTCTGAGAGAAGCTCACAGGACATGATAAATTAAAAATAAAGAAGTAAAATCAGAAGAAAATAATGGGTTGGGCTTAGATTTAGATGTAACTGAGCCGGCAACAGCAGACTTCTTTGCCTCTTCTCTTGTGGAAACTTTCAAGGTCCTTAAAAGTGTGACATAGGAAGATCAGACAATGCTGGTTAATGGGATTACCTGTGCTATGGAAGGAGATGACACCCCAAAAGTAATAGAGATCTTTTCTGAGAACTTCTGTTTATGCAAGACCCCAGTGATTTGTTGCACAACAAAAAAATGTTAAAAGAGTTGCAACAAAACCCCCAAAACCCTACGTTGAAAATATATGTCAAAAGCCTAGGCAAATAGGAAGTGTCAGGTAAGAGGTCTCCTTTTGAGTGGATGAGCAAAGGTCTCCTCTAATCAACTGGTGGAAATCTAATTCCAGACTGACACCAAGTCAAGGAACAGCACTGGCAGAGCAGTCTTATGGCAGGGGAAGTACTTTACCAACGTCTTCTGCATAATGCGAGTATGCAGATGAATGGCACTGAAGATGCTGGAAGTCTCTTGTAGGCAAAATTCTGCCAACTGCATATGTTTCTGACTTATTTTGTGAAGAAAATAAGTCTCTGTTTCAATTCAAATCTCACATCTAAATCATATTTAAGAACTCTTGGAATCATGTCTGAGTTTATCAAGCATGCCTTGCTATTTGCTAGTGTAGTATAAAATGGTTATGCTCTCATATTGCTATAAATAGAAAAGAATTTTTTGTTTTTTCTGTGTGTACATTGTTTCCAAGTATATTCATCACCTGTGGTTTTGTTACAGGGAGTATACATACCTTTCCACATAAGTCATTTCTGTGCAACAAAGTCACTAGGTGGAACATCAACTATACCTCCTATTGAATTTGAGTGTTTTCAATGCAGATGGAAGACTTGGATTGATATTCTGCTTCAGCCACATGTTTAGGGGAGTGTTGGCCATGTCAGTTATTTTTTTCAGACTCAGTTTCCTAGTCTATAATGGAGCCAGAACCCTGAGCCTCGTGGCGCAGTGGTTAAAACGCTGTACTGCAGCTAAAACTGTGCTCACGACCTGGGGTTCAAATCCCAGGTAGCCGGCTCAAGGTTGACTCAGCCTTCTATCCTTCCGAGGTCGGTAAAATGAATACCCAGCTCGCTGGGGGGGCAATGTGTAGCCTGCATAATTAAATTGTAAACCGCCCGGAGAGTGCTTGTAACGCTATGGGGCAGTATATAAGTCCAATAAATAAATAAATAAATAAATAAATAAATAAATAAACAAACTGCTGTACTGCAGCCAAAACTGTGCTCACGACCTGGGGTTCAAATCCCAGGTAGCCGGCTCAAGGTTGACTCAGCCTTCTATCCTTCCGAGGTCGGTAAAATGAATACCCAGCTCGCTGGGGGGGCAATGTGTAGCCTGCATAATTAAATTGTAAACCGCCCAGAGAGTGCTTGAAGTGCTATGGGGCGGTATATAAGCAGCACGCTTTGCTTTTTGCTTTTTTTTTGGTAAGGATGAATGGAACTTGAATGGAATTGCAGCGTGTGTTGTGCAGTGCTCTGCATCTCAAGAGAATCTCTTTTCTTTGCCAATCAGCTGATCTCCTTGTCATGTGTTATAGTTATCTCTTCTGATTAGCTGATTTGCTCTTTAAGTTACATTAAAATAGAATTCCATTGCTGAACTATGTTAAGATAAGCACTAGACTAAGTCATCCTTTAGTATAAAAGAAATAGATAAATATGTGCCTTGTGTCAGATCTGAGTCATCTAGTTCAGTATTGTCTATCTGACTCTCTCAGCCTAATTACTGAGTATCCTTTAATGGGAGAGCTAGTTACTGATTCTGGGACCATATATATGCACTCCATGTGCTCTACCACTAAGCTATGTCCCCTGCCCCAGTTATTTACCAGAGTTGTTTTCTTAGTCTTCAGGATAATAAGGAAAAGAAAAGCTGATAATAGAATCTCACCATTCTAAATCAGAAGAGAATTGGAGAGAGCACGCATGGTTGGCTTTGTTGATAGATCAGCTGCTGCTTGGCTTTCCCCCAACACCTATTTTTTTCCATTCTAGCTGATTACTATAACAATAAGAACATTGGTTTAAGAATTAATTGGTGTATTAAATTGTTTTCTTCCTTCTCTATCCCCTTTTCTTTTTGTCATGTTCATAAAGACAAACAGTCTGGAATTGCCTGGTTTTCAGTCTCTGTTAGAGTACATAGAAAACTTTAGGTGTTAATAAATTCAATGCCATTATTATTGCTGTCGCTGCCATCATTTTAGAAATAATACATATACACACAAGATAGTTAATTGTTATCCTCAGGTTCTGAACGTAGAAGTCCTTTGTCTAATAAACAAGATTGAGCTCCATCTGCTTCCACTTATGTAAAATTTCTCCCTAAGGTAATCACTGCATCCCTTATAGCAATTTTTTGAGATGGAGAAGGAAATGAAATCAAATGAAGGATATGAAAAGCTCCATGCTTTAAAAAACAATCACTCTACTGGAAAACACCATACATATTCCTTTAAACTGAAAGTTGGAAAACTTTTGGAAGGCTTTAGGCTGCATACAGTGCTCCATGGCATAGGAACAAGCAGACTATTCAGGTGATGTCAGTCAGACTACTGTATAAGATGGTGTATCTAGATGTTTTTCTTAAGTACTATCACTGGTAGGTGCCCAGGGCCTGAAAGTCAACATCCCATTCAGATGGGATGTTGGAGCTATTTGGTTCATACGTAAAATATTATCTTTTGTGCAATCTATTTTATCTCTCACTTGAGCCACATTTCTCTTCACACAGATCAATGCTTTTTCTCCTGTGAGAAGACCCACCAAGGTCTTTAGAGCATTCCAATGTGTCCTCCTTTCAATCAAAGACATTCCCTTTCAGGCCCCCTTCCCTGCTTTCTCCCATAGCCATAATTCAGCAGGCCACAGCTATTTCCTTTGGGTGCTGTTAAATTAAGTGACATAAAATTACAGCAATGCATCTGCCTAGCTTGGTACATATAATACTGCCAACGTATCTCATTTATCTAGAATAGCATCTGCATCAATAGGAAACATATATTTTTTAAAAAAATTAAATGGTAGATGAGCAGGGTTCTCCGCTGTCTCTTTCAATGCTACGATCCATCAACTACATCACGGAGTTTCCACCTCACATAATACCACCACCAACTTTATTTTGGTGCCAACCAACCATCTGCAAGGGCTACAGAATGGGATTGTGAATGGCGCCAAAAAAAATTGTAGCCCTAGCATCGTGCCAGAAAGGAGCGGGATAGATCTAAAAAGGGCAGGGTGGGTCAATCTAGGTCAAAACACGTGTGAATGCTGCAATTTGATTCAAACCAAACAACACCAAAAGTGATCCAAATAGCAAGATATATGCCACTTATCAGGACATGCCCTGACTTAACCATGGAAACCAATTAAGTTTTTCTTTCACTCACATTCTCCATTTTAGTTCCTGTGTCTCCCAGTTGAATTTCCTGCCTCTTTGCTTCTTCCCCACGTGTGCTAATTTCCCTGAGAACTGAGAGAGGCAGTGTGACGGCCTTCCTCACTATTCACAAAGGGAGGTCGTCATGTCACTTTAAAACTCTTTACTCTACTTTACTGCCACCAACCATTCCTTATAAAATAAATCATACATAAGGCCAGTATCATTTTTCAAAATAAAAACTTGGTTTATTGAGTACAAACATAAAGGAATGGTAAATCACTGTTAAAGAAATAATTAATCAATCACTGTTTCTCAGGCACTAGCTATCACAGACTCTTTCTCACTGACTCTCACTGACTTTAAGAACACTTTAACACTCAGCTCATTCTCTCATCTCAAGTTCCAGTCAGCAATCTTTTATCTTATCTGACCCACTCACACCTCACACACACCTTATATATCACAGCTCCTCCCGCCTCTGCACCACCCTCCGCCCTCTCATTGGCTGAGATTTTCCCTCCCAGCTGTGACGGACAGGTAATGCTATGGCTGACCGTAACAGGCAGCAATCTGGAAAACAAGAGTTCCTTTTTGTAAGAAAAAGGAAAGAAAATTATTAAACAGTGGCTGAAATTCTGTGGATTAGCATAGTAACTTCCAACTAGAGTAGGCCCATTGAAATAATGAGACTTACAGAGGAGTTGGCTCATCAAATCACCACTGATTCAGTGGGACTTTAGTTGTGACTTACGCTAAGCAACAGGACTTCAGCCACTGGGGGGAAAAAGAGGCTTCAAAGGTGTTCATGTCTGGTAGGCTTCCCTTCCTAATGGCACATTTAAAGATAATCTCATTTTAGAATGTTATATAGCTATTAGTGTAATAAAACAGTATCATGCAGTATTCCATGGTTTTCACCTCAGTGTTTGACTAGAGACCACCATACATCCGCCCAAGTGAGAATGTTCTCCATGTATTGTACCAGTTTCCTGTCACTCTCTTTTAAAAGGCTGCGTGGCTGATGATGACCCTTGCTAGCACATTATTGGCATCAGCCAGTGGTGACACTGTGTCTGCAGACACGACTGTCTGTCTTTGGGACAGCTCTTCTTCGTTCTTGTAGTGGCCTACAGGTTATGCATACAGGAAACTGCTTTGCAGAGTTTGCTGGCTTTAGAAAATAGCTTTTAATTTCGTGACAAGGATGAATGAATCTTAAGGGAGTAGTAACAAGTAATGTTTCACTGGAGATATAAAGAGCTGATGACCTACTTTTATAATTGCAACCCCTACATAACAAAAGTGTTTCTTTTACAAAAATACACACAGGATAATGTTTGGTCTCTTCCTTGGATTACACTGTGAAGGATATGTGTTAAAGTTGTTTTGATACTTAGGCAGTCTTTGTCCTTTTAATTTTTTTTTAAAAAAACCTTGGCAATCACAATAGCTGTGCAGCAATTAGCATTTTTTCTGACCAGTATACAATTATCTTCAGTAGAGATGCATTTCTTTGAAATGACAGTTTCAGTCTTTTAGATGTGACTCTCTTAAACTGTTTGCAGAAAGCAAACATTTTTTTATTTTAGGTACATTCAGGGCTGGCACTACCAAAAAGACATTATAAGTGTTTCCTGCTTTCTCTTTGATATCATCATCACCATCACTGCCATACCTTTCCCCCTGCTCGTGCAAATGATTTTATGAAACAGAAATTGTGCCTTCGGTAAAAAAATGTTCCTATTGAATTCAGTGGGACAGTGCTTAACAAAGCTCTTATAGGGGCTTCAGATGACATTATTATGTTGACTAAACAGACATATGATAGCTCAGGTGCTTTTTGTAGAGCATGCCCCTTTGCAGCATGGAAACAAAGCTTCTGCTTAAAAACAAAATGTCAAAGTATCTTGTACAGACTATGGTTATTCACAGTATAAACTGTAGATGGTGATGAAAGTGTTGTAATTGAAAGCCTCTCGTAAAAAAAAAATCTTTAATATAAAGAAGGATCCAAATACAGTAGCTCACCTAAAAAAAACAACCTTGAGAGACAATTCTGATGATTAATCACTTTTGGATGGCTGGATAAGTAGGAGTGAGATTTATTCAAGGTATTGTGGTGGATCCAATTCCATTCTGCTCATGCAACAGTCCATCACCTGTTGTTCAGTATTGCAGAGCTTGTGCAAGAAGGTTTCGAGTAACTCCTTGCACAAGCAGAAGGCCCATTAGCTGTACAATAGAGATTAGGTGGAACTACACCAGTGGATCATAACACTCTGCTTGACTTTGACAATGATATTTGAAGATGCTGAAGTTTGTATCAGTTTTCTTAGATCATAAACACTCTCAGGATAGGATCTTGTACATATGTAGGGTTTCCCCCCTGGATTTTGGAAAACATTGAATGAAATATCTAAATATTTTCTCAAAAAGCAACACATTATTATGTGCTCCTTTCTCCCAAAAGTCATTCACACTTCAATAACATTTATTTCCTGATTTTTGTCATATTTAGTAGAAAACTCTTAATTTATCTCATTATGTTGCATGTGTCTATTCGATTGTATGCATGCTTGTTCCTACTGATTTCTGTAGGTCTTTCTTTCATGCAAGTGTTTGTAGAATTGCAGCCTAAAATTGTACTGTTCATAAGGTGAATAAATATCAAATTAAAACATAGTGCATTGAGATTTGCAGGAAATATGTTATTATTAACTGTTAAACTTTTGGCTTGCTAATTATATGTGTAACACTTTAGTAATTCACTTGGTATGTTTTCTTCTTTTGTAGATACACGTAGTCCATTTGTAAAGTTGCACAAGGACATACCAGACACAATACTTATGATTGACGGGCAAGAGCTTATCATCCCATGCAGAGTTACAGCACCAGATATCCTGGTTAAATTAAAAATGGTAACTGAATCTAACTTTTTGTCTCCAAAAAGCTTAGTTGTTTGTTCTATCAACTGTTCAAGTTTTATGCAATTGGATAATACTTTTCCTTGGGCAGTTATGGAAAACCCAAATTTGTTTCTTATTTTCATTTATATTCTATTCTTCTGCCTGAAGACCTAAAATAGGACACACCACAATAACATTACAACAATCAAGTAATAAAATACTTTTCTTAAATGATAAAAATAGAAACAAAAATTGGCAACAACCTAAAGCTGACCAGACAATTCATTACCATATTTTGAATGCTTGCAACATTGGCGATAGAATAGCAATTCCCTAATACCAAAAGGCCTGTTGAAACAGTTCACCTTACATCCCCTTCAGAATGTGTGCGGGTGTTCAATAAGAGAATCCCAAGGCCTAGAGGCAGCAACACAAAAGGTCTTTTCCTAATTTAGTCATGCCAGACAGTTTTAATAGTTGCACCTTTAGAAGAATAGTTTCAGGTGACCTCAGTTGGTTCAGGGGCTAGATTCTTTTCTTTTCCCTTCCCAGTGACCACCTTGATGCTTTCCACTTGCAGCCACTCTCTCTCTTTCCAGTTTTGGGGTGGTGGGAAGAAGAGGCTGTCTTAGGGTCAAAACGTGCAAGGTGGTGGGCAGAGGGGAATAACTTCAAAAAGGGGACTATAGACTTTTGGGGGTATCCTCCATTTTGAAGCTGAATATTTTTTGGTGGAGGTTGCTAGAAGACAGGCTTAGCAGGTTGCCTATAACTGCAGGCTGTCCAAGTCCCACTTTTGATAGGCAGTGAAAACATTTGCCTACATTAGGAGGTAAGGTAAAGGTTCCCCTTGACATTTAGTCCAGTCATGTCTGACTGTAGGTCGTGGTGCTCATCCCTGTCTCGAAGCCGTAGAGCCAGCATTTTGTCCATAAACAGTTTCCGTGGTCACGCGCCAGTGCGACGCTGTTACCTCCCACCAAGGAAGGTATTTATCTACTTGCATTTGCATGCTTTCGAACTGCTAGGTTGGCAGGAGCTGGGACAAGCGACGGGAGCTCACTCCGTCACGTGGATTCGATCTTACGACTGCTGGTCTTCTGACCTTGCAGCACAGAGGCAGTTTAACCCACATCTGTACACATTAGGAGAAATGGTGTCAAATTCATACAAAACAATTTTGCTACAGTGGGGTCTCGACTTACGAACTTAATCCGTATTGGAAGGCAGTTCTCAGGTCGAAAAGTTCGTAGGTTGAATCTGCATGTCCCATAGGAATGCATTGAAAACCATTTGGTCCGTATCTGCTCTTTTCTGTCCATAGAAACTAATGGGAAGCTGCTATTCTGCCTTCTGCCACTAGAGGGGGATATTTTTCCTTTTTTTTTCTTTTAACCCAAGATGCCTTAGACCAGTGGTTCTTAACCTTTGTTACTTGGATGCTTTTGAACTGCAACTCCCAGAAACCTCAGTCAGGACAGCTGGTGGTGAAGGCTTCTGGGAGTTGCAGTCCAAAACTCCTGAGTAACCCAAGGTTAAGAACCAGTGCCTTAGACTTTCAAAAAAGGGGGAAAAAGAGTTCGTAACTCGAATCTAAGTTCGCAAGTCGAGTCCATATAGTCCTATGAGAGCGGTTCATAAGTCGAAAAGTTCGTATGTAGAACCGTTCGTAAGTCGAGACCCCACTGCCATACATTACGCAGGGAGGAAAGAGGTATTAGATCTGCATGGTGCGAATCTGAATGTATTAAGATGACACAAGATGGTCTTATTTACAAACAGCAGTCCAGTCCTGTGAGGAAGAAGTGAGATCTTTGTAGAGTAGTAGCAGAGCCTGGGGCTTGTAGTGTTGAAGCACTAGGTTTGTCTGATGACTAGCAGAAGGAATTGCCAACTCCTGCTTCCAAGCTTCTCTCTTCCAGCTGTAATTCTCATAGTCAATATCCTAGACACTCCCAAGTACCAAAATGTGTTTGCTACTTGGTACTGGCTGTGAGATGAGGTGTTGTTTAAAAAGAAGAGTTGCAGAATCATTCTCTAGATCATTGGTTCCCAACCTTGGGAAACCCAGGTGTTCTTTGACTGCGGTTCCCACCAGCTATGCTGACTCGGGTTTCAGGGAGTTGCAGTCCAGGAACTCCTGGTTACATAAGGTTGTAATACTGATTATTTTTCCCCCCTGTGTTTAGCTAAAAATTGATTGTTAAATTTTTGAAAATTAAGTAAAAATTCAGAAAACACTTATTGGCATTCTATTTAACTCATAGATAGGGGAATGTTACTGAGAAGGATGATTCCTAACCAGAAAAATGATACTTATTTGCTTCACCGTTGTTTTAAATTGGATTCCAAGCTTGAGGGACTACAAGTCTCAGAATATTCCAGCCAGCATGGCCACTAGGGGATTCTGGGGACTATGGTCACAAAAATAATATTTCAAGTTCTGGTTAGCCTCAAATGTAACTTTCTTTGGATCACATCCTTTATATATGAAGGGGACTAGAGGGAGGGATAGGTTAAAAAAAGGCAATCCAAAATACCCTTTGCCCCCATCACATATACTGTTAGAGCTAAACTAGCATGAGCAAGTGCATAATATAAAATGAATATTACATTATGATATTACAACCCATTATTTTCTGTATACTCTCATAGTTTTTATAGCTGATGAGTCTCTTGAAATAGGCATGCTGCTTATTGTTGATGTCTACATATGCAATGATGAATCATTTAAGGAGACAAAAGGGAAATGTTTATATCTGGCAGCAGTAACCACAATAGAGTCCCTAGAATTCAAGACACTTTAGAATGTCGGCCAGCAGGCTATAAAATAACAGACAGCTTTTGTATATGTAGGGCACACTCCTCCCATTATTTCAATGGTTATTATGGCTTCTTAGCAGATGCTGTAAAGATAAGGAAGTATATTCTACTGTGTCACTGCACTGTTCATTCTGATTGTTGCTCATTCTATGAAAGTATCCGTTTTTCTTCGTAGCCCCTGTTATTCACATATATGGGTTCCTCTGTGCCTGCACAGACATTCCCTGGTAAAATATAAAAAGCTGCATTTTCTGTCTGAGATTGCATGAAATGAGAGGAGGTGCCTTCTTATGTTGTTCTGGGCATATGACACAAGAACAGTGAATTTATACAGGAGAGGGGAGGTTAGTAACTTCCACTATCTCATCACATATTTCTGGTCTTCTGACTATAGGGTAAGGGTCCAAAAGAGAACAAGCTGGGTCATCTGTTCTAGCACCTCTGCACAGACATTCCCTTTATCCCAAAGTAGAATATAACACTTGTGGTACCTTGCTATTTTATTTTGCATTGGGACTTCGAAACGGGAGTATATACGCAGATCAATAGCAAGTGGTGCTATCCATCTATGATCTTAACTCTGGCTGTGTACTCTTTAATTGGTCTACCATTCTGAGGTGAACAGAGGATGGGTAGGGATACAGAAAGAAGCAAGAAGCAAAGGTAGCATCACACGCCATCAAAGAATGTTGCTCAACTTCCCTGGGTTTCCCCATCAGTTATAGTGTGAGAGAGTTGACATTTCCCAACACAGGAATCCCCCAACAAGCTGAGAATTGCACCACCACCAAAGCTTCTACTGCTGCCACTGGGATTCACTGGCTTCAGCCAAGGTTACCATCACTTCTAAAGGAATTTGGCAGCATCTGCTGCAGTTTCCGGTGACATTGCAAGTTACCATAGCGCATATTCCATACCATAAAGCCCTCTTGATGTACCAGGCAAAGCATCTTCCCTTCTGGAGGAGAAGACCAATTTATTAGGATTAAATGTAGGAGCTTTCTAACTCTGTAGAACTGTTATCAGCCTAGGTGGTAGAAAAACAGGGGGTGCAGAAAGAAACACATATCAAGGAAAGAAGGAAGAAGGTCAGCTGATATGTTTTAGAACCAGTCTCCTAATGGGGATTAATTGAAATAATTAGTCACTGCTAGGTTTTTCAAGTTTCAGATTACACTTCAGAATACAAAGAAACAACAGCTTGACCCCATTTCTTAAAATCTGAAGTCTGGCTTTAACCCAGATCTGTCTCTTCCCCAGGGTGAAAATATGCCTATAGATACCATCACCCTCATGCAAGTATCTAGGCTGTTAATGTTTTCTATTCATTTAGCCAGTGTCTTGCCCAACTACTGGTCTTTTCAAAGAAGAACAAAGATGACTGTAGAAACTACAGCATCTAGCTAATTCTACTAGTGCATTTACATACAACTTTTAAGAGTCAACTAAAAACATGGATGTACATTCAGGCCTTCCCTCCTGTCAATACTTAATTCTTTCTTTATTCTTTCTTCATTTATTCTTTTTTTTAATCATTGTATGTGTTATGGATTGTTTGTAAAATCCTTGTGTTTTTATTGTATATACGTTTATTGGAAGCTGCCCAGAGTGGTCAACCAGACCAGATGGGCGGGATATAAATCAAATCAAATCAAATCAAATCAAATCAAATCAATCAATCAATCAATCAATCAATCAATCAATCAATCAATCAATCCTACTACTACTACTACTACTACTACTACTACTACTACTACTACTACTACTACTAATACTAATACTAATA